ACCGATTCAAAATTTAGGTGACGTTGATAAACGACTCCGCTAAACCAGAAAATGCGGCCTTGGAAATCTCGTCGCTTCCGCCATGTTAGGATAGCGGCCAGATACGATGGTAGGTGAGGATAGGCAGTCTATTGGCATACTGACACTATGATACCGCCAGGCGGCAAAGTTTGGAAGTTTAGCACTTATAGGTCTTGTCCGATAAAAGCAGGCGGTAATAACCTGTGAGCAACCATATAGCAAAACTTCCAGATATGCGCCCACTTCACAAGCTCAGACTCATTCGGTTTCAAGGGTACTCTCACAAAGTCTTGAGCATGAAGCGCATGATGAAGTCCCATTTGGGTGGCCACCTGGAGCCTCAAACCCTGCCAACATGAACGTCGGATTGGCTGTACTGCTACTCGTTGGGAACAGCCATATGTACGAGGATCAGGGCCTGTACAGCTGCCAGAGAGTATGGTATCTAGCGAATAGTCTTTTATAATAGATCTGACATAGCCTCGGCCAGTCTTGCTAATAATATCTGGTCGGACTTGACGGCATCTTGCGAGAAGAATCTGCCAAAACCACCCAGAAGAGCAACTCTGACAATTGATCATATTTGCGAGACGACCTGGTTGGGTCGAGAATGGGTATAGAGGGATTGCACAAGGTAGCTCGATTAACACGAGTCAGGCTGTCAATAGGAAACAAAGAGCCCAACGTCGTAAAGGACTGTTCAACTTCTACAACAGTTCGAACAGTATTGTCTAGTGCGCGAGGGCGTACCGCAGGGTTAAAAACAGGCCGTTCACGGATTGAATCCCGTACGCTTGGCCTGATGATGACGGTCGCGGTGGAAGCCTCGCCAGTGGAATCAGGTAATTGTGTCCCGGCGTAAGTTGATAAATCTCCGGGATACCATTTTCGAAGCTGCTTTTCTCGAGCTTTCGATTCCAGGTACGCCTGGCGCCGGTGGTGCTGGAACCGAGGATAAGAATCCGCAAGTTCATGATTGTAACTGTTGTCTCAGTTCGCGGACTTGCTTTTCTAATTCGGAAGAGCGCCTACGATTATCAGCATAGCAGGAATTGCCGCAGCAGAAATAAAGGGCGAACGACAAACGTTTATTTAAATCTTAGGTTATTTTTCGTTTTAAAGGCGATCTTAAGCTAGCGTTATAGTGTAAGAGCGAGAGTAAAAGTTTTTTATTCTATTTATTATCAGAGCATTGGAAGTAGTGTAGTTTTATAGTTTTGTAGTTTTTATAGTTTCGAATATAAAAAATTATATTAAATCTAATAAAATACTTATAGAATTATAAGTTTTACGAATAACTAGCATAAATCTAAAATTATAAGCTTATAATAAAAAAAGTGGGTCCTTATATACTATTATAAGCCTAAAACTTTAAAAACTACATTTTATAGTTTTTATAGTGTAGTGTAGTATAGTAAGTTTTTAGAAAACTATATAATCTAGTTTTTAAGCTTACAAAAAGCTAAAGGGACCCACTTTTTTAAATAAGCTGATTGGCTATAATATTAGCTATTTTATGTATTTATTATTATAATTCAAGTATTTTATTAGATTTATTATTAATTATTTAAGCTTTTTTAAAAAATGAAAATGTAGTTTTCTTGTTAATGCTCT